GTTTCGTGGTTTCATAGGTTTCATGGTTTCATCGGTTTTATGGTTTCGTCGGTTTTATGGTTTCGTAGGTTTTATGGTTTCATGGTTTCATAGGTTTCATCGTTTTACAGGTTTCGTAGCTTCATAAGTTTCGTGGTTTCATGGTTTCATGGTGTCGTGGGTTTTATGGTTTCGTGGATTTTGTGGTTTTGTGTGGTTCATGGTTTCATAGGTTTCTTGGTTTCATAGGTTTCGTGGTCTCATAGGTTTCATGGTTTCGTATGTTTTATGATCAACCAGACATGACAGGTTCAAAGTACTGAAGGTGTCATGTTGCAGAACAGCGGAGGTGTTGAGCAATCTGTAGCGTCTCGTACTTTTGTTTGACTTAAGTTATCGAGTTCTCCGAAACAAAAGCTAAACAAGGAAATGCGTTCTTTAAGGTAGGAAACAAACGTTTATTATAATTTTTCACTGGAAATAGTTTTTAGGTGTCTTTATTTTTTCTAATATTGGGTAACATGCCACGATACAGATGCTTTCTAAGTCTAGCGTGATGATCACGCTATCCTGACTAAAATATACTCATCATTCTCAATTTTCAAAGCTTTTATCAATCTATCCGGATACAGACAATACCTATACTTTTTTTAATGATTGAACAACTTAAACAGCCTTTTCATTGAGTGTATATACCGTAGACAAACGTTCAAACCGCGAGCCACAGCATGAGTTTGATGCCTTCTGTCAGCAATAATATACTGCAGGATAATTTCTTTCCAGACACTCGTTAGATGTTTCACGGACATCCTGGCAGTCGATATTTAATACAAATATACCTCGTGTACTGTTTGATTTACAAAAAGGCTCGTAGTGCGATGGCAAAGATTCTTTCAAACTGAAACCTAGACAACCATTAATTCATAAAACCCACAAGACCGGCTGGTCCGAAAACGAGGAGTGTGGAGTGCAGAGTGCCCATGTGAATTAACCCTCGAACCATTCAACAACTTGTCAACTGCGTGTCCTAAAGTTCTCATGATTGATGAAATTCAAACTAAATCCTTGACAATTTTTTCAGTGCTGAAAAATAGTAATATATTTAATTCTGGATTGACAATTAAAGAACCAAATAAATACACAGGTAAAGTTGCACTTTGAGAAAACAAATTCGAAATTATTTTCCCAAAAAACCCATTTAACTGGCAGCGACGCTTGTCTCACCAATTCCATGTGCCACTGCGGCCATACACCGAATGCAAATATGGCGGACCACTCGGGCGGCCCAGGACGAGTTGCGCGAAGTCGAGGCTAGTTAGGCCTCGAACTTGTTTACAAAACACGTATTCAGCAATGTGTCTCTTGCACTTGTCGAAGTTTTAGCGAAGTTTTTACTATGCCTACGGGTTGTTGTGTCCCTCAGTGTCACCAGAAAGGGGTTAAATTGCCAACAGGAGAGAAAGTGTCGTTTTTTGCATTTCCAAAATCACCCGAAAGAAGAAAACAGTGGATTCACGCGATCCGCCGAGATGAAGGAAAACAGTGGCAGATCACACCCGATACAAAAGTATGTTCATTGCACTTCAGACGAGAGGATCTCAGGACATCTTTAAATGGCCGACAATATATTGCCGAACGCGGTGTGCCTTCACGGTTTGCTTGGTCTGTTCCTACTCCAACAAAAAGAAAAGCACCTACCGAAAGGGTTTTCGTGCCTATGAAGAAAAAGTTGTTTACACCTGAGGTGAGTTCTGAAACGAACGATGAAGGTTCGACTGCTCCTGAAACCGTGCATGTAGATTCAGGAATTCCAGATTCAGCATGTCAAACAAGCGAAATGGATCAAATAAAACGAATTCAGGAACTTGAGATCCAGCTTCTGCAAGTTCAACAGGAGTTAACAAGTCTTTGCCTCGAGAACACTGAACTAAAGAGAAAGCTTGCTGAAAGTGACAGCCAGCAGGAAGAAATTTCTTCTCGTTTATTTTCACTTGATTGCTTCAAGTCTGATGCCGATATTAGTTTTTACATGGGTCTTCCTAATTATGCCACTTTCACAGCCATTTATGAGTTCTTGAATCCTGGCGAGGACTGTGAAAATATTTGCCCTCGGAGCAGCTCAGACATCCCAGAGGAGTTTTACAACTCAGACAGCTCCGATGAGGAGGAAGACGTCCAAGTGGCGAAGAAAGGACGCCAATGAAAAATTAGGCCAGTAGATGAATTTTTTATTGTTTTGTGTCGCTTAAGAAGAGGGTTTTCTGAACGACATCTAGCCAATCTTTATGGTGTGGCACAATCTACTATAAGCAGAATGTTTATACCGTGGATCAATTTTATGTACTTGAAATTTGGTCAAGTCTGTTTTTGGCCATCTAAGGAAGTTATTCAAAAAACCATGCCAGCTGATTTCAAAGAGAAATTCCCCTCAACAAGAATTGTAATAGACTGCACTGAGGTTTTTTGTGAGATGCCTAGTAGTCTGCTTCTGAACTCTGAGCTTTTCAGCTCATATAAGAACCATGTGACACTAAAGGGGCTTGTTGGAATTTCCCCAAGTGGGGCCATCACCTTCATGAGCCAGCTTTACACTGGGAGTATTTCTGATCGGGAAATTGTGCTGCGAAGTGGTTTACTGTCCCAAGCATTTGATGATGGGGATTCAGTGATGGCCGACAAAGGTTTTCAAATTCAAGACATTTTACCCCTGGGTGTAAGTTTAAACATCCCACCCTTTCTTGGAGGCAACAGTCAGATGTCAGCAGAGGATGTGGTCAGAACTCAACAAATTGCCAGTGTGAGAATTCATGTGGAAAGGGCAATTAACAAAATTAAAAACTTTCGGATCTGGGAAGGAGTTGTACCTTTGAGTTTATTCGGAGTTGTAAATCAGATGTGGACTGTATGCGCATTCCTCTGCAATACTCAGGATCCACTTATATCAGGATAAGTAAAGTTTTCTAGTCTGCGTGTAACTGTCTCGTATATTTTCCTCAAATAGGAAACCCCTGGCTAAAGCTAACAATAATTATTATAAGTTGTTTGGACAAATATTTTGTCATTTTGTCATACTTTTTAACATTCTCTACATTTTATTGATAAAATTATTTCAAGGTTTTACAATCTAATTTGGTTTGCTCAAAAATACCAGCACTTAAATAACATGAGTAAAGATTTTTATCATATGCATTGTCATGTATATTTACAGAGAATTATTACTCCTTCTGCGGCTAACTACTGTTGTTTGTACAAAATAATGGACAGTATTAAACAGGAACATAACATTACTGTTTTGTTAAATTGGAGTACTAAATAACATCAGTATTGTTATAATGGTTCTCTTGCTGCTAAAGCTAGAAAGTGCCTGAAGTAATACAACTTTAGTGTTTCCCTTAAATTATTCCAGTACTGAACATCTAATGGGATGCGCTCGATACTCATTCCTTTGCTGGTGTAGACAACAAAATCGCACCACCTGGCCCCAGTTACCCCCATCAAACCCTGAACTTGAGTAAAGTACTTATGCGTTCACTTAAGTTTTGGCATCCCGTTCACTTCTTCCAAAAAGAAATTACTATCCGAACATGCATCTAGAGGAGTCACTAGATATTTGGTCTCAGGGCACTTAACTTCAGAGAGTCCAAAAGGGTTTGAACACCCGGGGTCAATGACCTTTCCATCGGGGGAGGCACCTAAGTATGGGGAATCAGAGCTTATGACAAGTCCTGACTTAAAGACCTGTACAGG